CTATGCTACATTGTTTCCTCTAGCAATACAATACTAGCATTTTTAAAGACAGTTAAATATGCAGTCAGTTTCTCAAAACAAAGCCCAGACTATTTTCCTCTCCTCTGGAATTTTCCGCGACACCAGCGTTCCAAATTCATTCCCAGAAGTTCAGAACAACTACATCTCTTCTTGCCAGCTCCTAGAACACTAAGAATTCCTCTTCAAGTCTCTCTATCCCATTAAACGAACAAGGTCAAATCCAAAAAAGTCCTAGGTATCTAACACAAGATTTATATTCAGATGAGGATCCAAATGGTCTTTATGTTTCTTACTAGGTAACCTTAGAAATACGTAAAATGTTAGAGGCCCACTCTTTTGTATCATAAAGCACAGTCAGGCTTAGAGCCACAAAAATCCCACCTAATATTCTAGATACCTGAAAAGCCCAGAAGAATAATAGTTTTTCCTAGAGACAGAAAGATATGCTTCTGCGTGCAGCCAGCTGTCTAGTGTCTTGATTGACTAGCTTACTGCTTGCCTTACACTTATGTTTGTTTTCACAATTAAAAAGTAGGAACAAATTTTAGTTCTAGATAAGTGGATACGTTCTTTGCTGCCTAAATGAAGTAGCCTACCTGTGAATTAGGTGTCTAGCAACTCACTGGGAATCTACTCTGCTTACTTAATGTCTAGATATATATCCAGAGTGTGGAAATTGAATTATTTGAGTATGAAGCCCTTGTATATGAGTCTAGCAGACACAAAATAACAGTTACAAGAAAGGAGGCCTTCTAGAGTACTTCTGGAAGCATAACAGAGTAGTGCAAGACTCCTAAAGTTGCACTAGAAGCAGTCTGATCTATCACAAAGATCCAAAAAGCTAAATTCTCCTGATATAATAACTATGTGATAAACAGAAGGGATCCTTGTTTAAACAGGTTTCATCTTTAATTAATTTCTTAAAAATTTACCAAAGCAAAACTTTACAATTCTAGATTTATTTTCCATCTACTTTCTCGCTAAATTCCAGTTCCTATGCTGATTTTCTTAAAAGTACTATATGTGTGTTACAAATTATCTGTCATGTATATACGAGACCATTTACTTTGAGATTCTTACATGTTTAATAAACGTGGCCCTGGTTATCATAACTTATGTTATAACTTTTATTAAAAGGATTACATTATACGGTTGCCTTAAACTCTAGAAACTAGAGCTGATGATTCCAGAGCTAAAATGGTATTTTGCAAAAGATGCAGAAGATGGTCTCACTTGCTATACTACTGAGATATCCAAACAAAACATGGCAGTTGTGTAGTTAACAACGAAGACACAGAATGTTATGAACTTAGCATGAAGAACAACACTGTCTATAATTTATTTACAGTAAGGCTTTACTGTCAAAGGATACTATTCTACCCTTTATAGCAAAAAGAGGTGGTTTTTTTACTCCTCGGTTAAAAATTATCAGCACAAGCTGAAACAACATCACTACTTATTCAGTACAGTACATGTAATTTTTATGAGTCACAGTGATAAGACATGTTCCCATTGAAGCATTAATTAAAATATAAAAATAGTATTTAAGTATGTATATATATAATTAAATATATTAAATCTGGCACTCAAATTCTTTGAATTTAATATGACTGAATTAAAAAAAAAACATTTCTAATTACTCAAATGAGCAGCATATGCAAAGTATACGATATGATTATTTTATATTTCTTTTTCTTGCTTGAATATTTCAGTATTATGCAGACTGGATGGCTAATTGTGATTCCATGAACTACAATTAGCCATCCAGTCTGCACAATACTGAAATTACATAATTTTAAGTCCTTTGTTATTGCTGTGGTACAATGCTCTAAATAATGCCAAAGTTGTAAATAGTTGAAGTTAATTGTCTAAAATATCAGTTGTGTTTATGGAAGCATTACTTAGATAAGAACAGTTTATACATCTTAAAGTTTTAAAGGAATCACGCATCAGATTTTTATTTTTTAATCACGCTAATTATTTTAGGCAAAAGTGTTAAATACTTTTAATTGTATTGCCACCTGAAATAAATTTAATCCTCTGGAATATTTTTGTGATTGTTACATCATAATTGCATAGATCTAGATTACTTGGATTCTTCAGAAATCTACATTTTGGTGGAAATCATTACAGTGTCCACATTTAAATAGCTAGGTCAGTCACACTGAAACATAAATACTGCAATAAAAGAAAGAATAGATACGTCACTTCAAATTCCCATACCACAGCATCAGTGATCTCATGAAGCTATTGAGACTGCTACACATAATTTGCTAAGGTTCAATTTACCAATCATTCAATGAAAGCACTGTTTAACAAGAGTTTGCATTGTCCAGCTGAGAGTGCTTCCATTTGTGCCATAAATCATGACAATAGGAGGAAAAGCAAAGATTCCAATGAACTACATTGAATCCTGAGATCTGAGGAGTTATACTGTGCCCTGACTCTCCTCAGACAGCTAAAAAATGATCAATTTCCTAAAACTCTCATGATTAGAACTGGAGTGATTTATTCCTGCCTTCTGAAGTGAAGGCTTCATTATTCCTTCACATTTGTTACCATAAATGATACAAGGCAAAAGGCTTGATCAGAGTCTGAGACCATGATCAAGAATCTGACAGTATGTAGCATGTGGCTACATCAAAGAAACTACACAGCATCCCTCAGATTACCACAGGGCTCCATCTGCACAGTCAGCTGTCAGGTCAGGATTTTAGAATGAAATGCTACCATTTAAACTAGCTTCTACCTGTGAAGTAAGATCAAAATCTGAGGACCATTTACTTGGTTTCATGTTTGTTACTATATTGGACATCACCAGCAGGCATTCGCTTGCATACTCTAAACATTAATTGCACTTTTCTCTCCTTGAGGAGGATCATTTTGATTGCAGGATTATGGTGAAGAATTTTAGCAGGACTTCTGTATGAGAATGATAGCAAGAAAATAGTAAAAGTTGTCAAGACGTTTCTGTATTTTCCTTATATATAAACAGAACAATACAGCAAAAGTCATAACAACTATTATTTTTGAAACACTGATGATTCCCACCACTCTTACAGTTCTTCTGATCATGCAAATGGTTCCCTGCTCTCCCTGCTCTACAAATATATCATCACAGTTGGTTTGGGTTGTGGTCTCTTCTTAAAACCTTCAGATCTATTTCATTTCTTGACAACTTCCCATAAGAATGAAATCTTCTTCCAGACAAAGTATCAAATTCTTTAGCATATACTAGCATATATCTGTTGTGGTTGTGGTGAGTAATTTAGGATTGGCAATTGAACATATATGGTTGTGACAATTTACACTTCAAGAAACCAGCAAGCAGAGGATCTGCAATAAATCTGAAGTAGATTTAAAACTTCAATTTTTATTCTTTTGGTTTATGTTTAGTTCAATTACCACTTCAAACAAGCAAGGAAACTTTCAAAAGGCACATCTCTTCTGATGTCTAACGGTTAAAATAGAGAGATCAGTATCTCACTTTTTTAGTGTTGTTTGTTTCTCTTTCCTCTGATTCACCATGAATTTCCTTCTTTGCGTTATTAGGAAAAACAAACAACATGCTACGAAAACATTGAAAACTACAATCACACCATCCCTCAGATTTCTTTCCAGATTCTTCTCACCTTCTGTCATTTACCTCAGTATACTCTGATAGATCTTGAGATTATTAGACTTTCTGCCCCTTCTTGGGACTGGGTGTGGCGAATTTTAAACATGAACTGTCAATTCCAAAAAATCAACTGATTATTTTGACTTTAACTTCAGCTGTGTTTTATTTGCATTAGCTTTGCATTCTTTAGATAAATTATTTTCCTTTTTTCTGATTCTTTTCAAAATCACAAGTTCTCTGAGGAGAGTAGATAATTGAATCTTACGTATGTATTCATGCATGCGTGTACTATTATTATAATAACCACTAAGAGTTCAGCTATGACTGTGGTCAGCATGGATGCTAAACTATTAAATAGGCTCCTATTCATCAAATGTTTTTTATTGTATTACATTTAAATTACAACAAATTGGAATAAACATGGTTCAGTGATGCAAAAATCACAAGAGTTTACAAAGCTGTTATTTTTCTTTGTCTGATTTTTACAATTCACATAATTGTACTCTCATCTCATAACCAGTCTGCTATACTACAACTTATTGCTTATTTACAACTCTATTATCATATCAGACACATTGCTATTTCTTCTCCCAAAATTTAGGGCCCAAAGATAAATTGAAGCTGCATCTGGTACAGCGGTGGTGTTAGGGAAAAACATCTCATCTTCTTCAAAGCCTACAGAGTATAAAATGTGAGAAGGAAGTTCTATGCCATTAGATGAACTTTTCTAGACATTTGTGTATGTCCTTCCTTATTATTAATCAATAAACCAGACCTAGTATGAAAGAAAGACTGTTAGATAAAGCCAATGTTTTTTAAAAGTCTATGCATAGATTTCTAATCTAAATCTATGCATAGACTTTCATATTTCATCTTGATAGCATGTGTGTGTGTGTACATATGTATACACATTTGCATATGTGTCTATGTGTACTATTAAATAACGTTACCTCATATTTTACAAATAAAGTGAGAGAAAAAGATATGCCTTCTCATGTCTAACTCAAACCTTACTGACTATCAGTATCACAATAGCCAACTTTAATTCACTATCTTTTAACTCTTTTAAATCTTTTAACAGCACTCTCATACTGTTTCATATTTCCAGAACTGAAAAAATATACAAAACTCCTGCTTACCATGAATAAGCACATAAACAGCATTACGATTTAGAATGGACTGCATTCCAGGTCTTATTGTATGAACACGTGATAAACCATAAACATTTTAACTGGAAGTATGTATTGCAAACACATATTTCAAATAAACTTAAGGACATCAGCAAAGGAGGTTGGCTATTCATCTATTTAATATATTTTTCAGAGAACAGTATTGTTCTGACCATAATTTTAGTACTTACCACTGTGTTGCATCTTTGAGAAACCTTCAGAATCCCCCCAAAGGAGGCAGCATGCCATCATTTTAGTTACAGCACACACGTTGCCTGTTAGAAAGAAATATAAGGTGCTCTTCAGTAAAAGAAGGAAAAATAGCAGACTTATTAGTCACTATTAGTGACAAAAAAATACTTATGATGTTACCTGCAATATTGATTTTCTAGATTAAATATATAGAGGTAGATAATCAGAAGATAAAAATATGATGATAATCTATTGATGTTTGCCATAACAATTACTAGATTGTTTATTTAGAATGTGCATATCAATCTCTCATGCAAAATTTCTTTTAATACTTTAAACCACAGAGGTACTCATTTTAGGGAAAGAAAATTAAGGGAATTGCCTTAAGATAAACTTTTTTACATTATTATTATAAAAATATTTATTTAAGCATATGCTGTAAATGTTCAAATGGAGAGTGTTAAATCGTGTGACAGTTATTTATTATTTCCTCAAATTATATACTATAGACTTTAGCAGAAAGTATTATGGAAAAATAGCAATAATGCACTTTCTCTGATCCTCGATCAGATTTAGATATTTAAGTCTCAGATGAGTATGGTTTACTTCAAGAATTTCAATTAGTTTACCTGGATTTAACTATCTTTCACAAAAATGTAGTATTATTTTTTGTTTGTCTTCTACATAAGTAATGATGACCAGAAAAACACTACACATGGACCAGACATTTCTTTTTGAACAATCAGTAATTCACAACTGGAGCTTACACAGCAAATAACATTTTAATTGGTAATTTATTTATCAATAAACTATCCATTTAGATACTTAAACAGACTAACTATCAATATTTGCCAATAGTCTCTTCTGTGAGGACTACACCGAGACACTGGAATTTAAATTTCAAAACATAACTTTTTAAAAAAGTTACTGCAAATCATTTGCATTTGTTTGAAGACTGCATTAGCTGAAATACTCTTCTCACAAAAATCAGCATAGCCACAGTTATGGCACTGTACATATGCTACTTGTATTGGTTTTTGTTTGTCTGTATCTCTTAATGCACCAAGATACTACATATCATTTATTCATATTTTCACTATCTTGATAAATACAGACTAAAACCTTAAATGAAAAGTATGATTTCAAAACAAATGACAGTTGAAAGCGAGAACATAAAGTAATCTTACTATTCTTACTACTATTCTATATCAGGTTTTGTACTTAACTTTTGACCAAAATAAAGTGTAAATGAAATGCTACTGTCATATACTGCAATCTTAATCACACTGAATAATGCTACAGCCAAACCCCTCATGGTAAGTGTTATTCATTGGAACAGCTGCAAAAAATTCTCAACCCCGTGTAACTAAGATGATTACCTCTAGAAACTGGAAGTATGTACCTGTGGTTGGATATCTCAGTCTGGTTGGATATTCCAGTCTGAAAAGAACTAATTTAGGAACATGGATTCAAGTACAATTTTTTATGATTAAAAAATGTGTGAAACATTCCAACTAAACTGTGAAAGTGTCCATCTGGACACTTATCACACAGGAAACCTGGCAGCAGTATCCATTTTCATACACACCCTTTGAGGAATCATGTTGAAGCTTAGAGCGTTCTTTATTCCAAGCTATGAGAATGTCTTAAATCTACTCATATGACAGTGTCATTTTTATTGGAGATTTCACTGCTCATGTAGATTATGCCTCTTATTTATAACTTATCTCCCTAATAGGCAACTGCTCTTTAAAAGAGAACTGCAAATATTGCATTTCTTTTCTACCACTATGCTCTTGTGGAAGTATATACACACATGTCAGAAGACTAGTAGTCGAGTTGTAAGATAAAACATAGAAGTCTTCAATACATATTTTCTTTTTAAAGTGACATTCTTCTCTGTATTTGTAACAATTCTTACTTCAATCTTACTTTTTTTTTTTTTGGTCATCAGTCAGTGCAGAGACTGTAGGTAAATAAAATCTGATGGCACTATAATCATCCTAGTTTTAAAGTTAGTCAATTTAAGCTTAATCATTTGGTTCATTTCCTAGGATGATATTAACATTAACTGATTTTATAAGTAATGCAAGAAGCACAACTCAAAAAATAAACTCAACAACTAAAATTGATGTTCTGTCAGTATATTTTCAGTTATCTAACTAAATACTTGAGAAATAAAAGATCTATCTCATGAAAAAAAAAAAAAAAGTGTTGTTTTTTTATGTAGGGCTTGTTTTTTTGTTTTTCTTTTTGACATGATTGCCCATTCTCTCTAGACATCCCCAAAACATCTGATAGCTCTTCACAATATCCAGTTACAAAATAGGATTATTTATTTGTTCTGTGATGCTCAGTTCTACTCATCATTATGGCTGGACTATGGTAACTCTTGTAGGAGCAGTTAGGTTCATAACATGACAAAATATAGCATTATAAATAGAGTCTTAGCAGCACTGAATTAATCTTTAAAATCATTACAATGTAATCATTACAATGATTACACATTTTAATCTATTTTATATATTAGTACGGAAAATAGGCATCCCAAATGGTAGAAGACCAGTCAAAGAATGTGGGCTTTCAGCAATGAATCAAACCATCCACTTTTTGCATATAATGGGGTAGTGTTGACTTACAGATATCTAAGCAATGAGCGATAGTAAATCACTGCTTTCACTTAAAACAAATGTGAGTATCAAGTAGTGAAAAGGCTATGAAATGGATCTTTTACCTTGCTAAATGTGCAGAAATTCTCTCTCTGACCAGAGAGAGAAATTCAGCCAACAAGAAAAACCTCCTGGAGGGAGCTGTTTTTTCAACATTAATGAATAGTAACACATCAGAAAAAGACAGGAAATCTCTCATCTACACAGTCTCCCTAAATGATAATATTCCCAGCTGTATTCCTTGTCTTCAAGCAGATCAGAAAGATATAGTAGAACTCATGCTGCTTTTTTCTTCCTTTCTCTCTAACATCATAATTTTCTCACGTTCTTCTGCTTCATCTCCTTCTTCTTTAAATTGTTACACTTTTGAACATACCTGTGCCTCTGGTCTTGATTTCTGCCTGTCCCATAAGGATCTCCTTGTGGTAGTATACTCAAATAAAGCAGAGAAAGACTGACACTCCTCTGAAGTCAGAGGTGAAGGACTGAATCCTCAGCCACAAGCAACTAGAATATCCCACAGAACAGGTGGGTGGCTTCAGCGATAAGCTACAAGAAAAAGAAAGAATAGGAATATATGAATCTGTGCAAGATCTGCAAGATCAGGATAAACCCAAGCAGAGACCAGAGATGAACAGAGAGAGTAAGTAGAACAGCCTAACATACATGACAATCAGAGTCTGCTCTTCAGAGAAAAAAGGCTGCTACCAACCACAATACCACAGAAACTGAAAGGATGAGGCCATCACCACAGGATGCTTTCCAGAAAGGAAGAATGAAGCTCTTTATAAAGCACAATGTCACCTAGGAACAAGTGAGGTGAATTTGCAGAGGTACCTTTTTTCAAAATAAAACTGACATTTCTTGAAAAATCTTGTCTTCAAAAGTATTTAGGTACTAATCTTTTCTAATAAGACTGGAAAAATAAAAATACATTTCTTACGTGAATTACATTTGACTTGCCAAGAGCTACCTGCATCAAAATGAAGATATAATATATGATAAAACAGATTAAAAAATCCTAACCAGAAGAATAAGGTAAATGTCTGAGTACAATGTAATACATGTTTCATTACGAAATTTGAAGATTTTTGCAACATTAACAAATGAAAATCTCCCAGCTTAAAGGATGAGAATATCAGCTTAACATGGCAGTAGACAAGCCTATTAATTAATACTGCAGTTACAAAGAATAATGAAAGGAAACAGAAAAAAACACTGAGAGGCAGGAAAAAAAAAAACAGCAGAACAAAACAAAACAAAAACCCGAACCAACTCCCTCTCTCCAATTAACAAATAGATAGATAGGTAGATAAATAAATAAATGAAATGCAGGCTGGAAATAATGATGCTAGACAGAGTCTCAATTCTAAAGCAAAAACAAAACAAAACAAAAAAAGAACACAAAACCAACAACAAGAATCAGCCTTCTGAAGAATTTGCAAACTGCTACTTCAAGTCAGGAAGAATCAAACTCATGAAGCCTGAGCTCAGGACAGTAATACACATAGCAGAATTGCCAATAATGCAAAAGAGTGTGATTTCTTATGCAGCTATGTTAAGAAATTCTGAATGGTATATGAAGTGACAAATCCCCTTTGAGGAACTCCAAGACAGAAAGTAGCAATGCCAGCAAAGAACATAAAATATTTAAAAAAAAAAAAAAAAAAAAAAAAAAAAAAAAAAAAAAAAAAAAAAAAAAAAAGACATAAGAAAGGCTAAGTCTAAGGTCAAAGAGAAGGGAGAGTGCCAGTCCTGTGTCAAAAGAAAAGCTTGATCCCATGTCAAGGAGAAAAGAAAAGCCAAGCTTGAGATTAAGGAGGAGGAGGAAAAGGAGGACAAGATACAACTAAAGGAGAAAGACAGGAGAAAGGGAGGGGAAAAGAGAAATCTAGGGGAAAAAAAAGATTAAGGACAAGCCGAAAGTGGAAGGAATAGAATCCAAAAAGAGCTTCAAGATCATGCTGAGACATACTGAAAATTAAAGATCAGTTGAAACAGCAAGAGCTCCACATAATAACCCTCAAGCCTGTCAAGGTACAGCTTTCAGAGATAGTAGATAGAGAACCAGATGAACAGAAGACAGAATAATCCACCCATTGGCACAGAGTTCAAATCATCTATTCAGTCCTCACTTCAAGCATAGTTAAGTCTCCTTGGGCCTTTTAATATCATTTCTGTTTTCTGAAAGTAACAGCAAGAAATGTGCTGAAAGGCACTTAAACAGCTATTACAGTAAGGCTCTTGCTATGCTCAAAGTAATGTTGACTATTTGTGTCACTTCCAAGTTATTACTGGTAAAGCAATTACCCTTTATTAAATCATGTATGCCTCTCTGTGCATAAGCAAGCTCTGATAAATGTATCTGCCTTTCTCCCTTATGATTTTTTTTTTTTTTAAGAACCTAGGTAATTCACAAAGAAATTCTCTTCCTTCAAATGTTCATAGCTAGAAAGACTGTAATGAATGAAAATTCATTCAATTAAAATTTATACATGAAAATCTTCTCATAAATGATTTTTTTTTTTTTACCCCTGCACAAATTTTCCTATGTATCAGAAATAATGATTTTCAATCATTGAACAGTATAGTTATAAGCAACAGAGCTATTTTTCCTTCTTGCTCCCAAAAACATGTAGTGTAAGGTAAGAGAAATTTAAACACAGCAAACAGACTGAATCCAGAACTCCAGCACCTGTTTTTTTTCCAATCTAGCTGCATAAATTTTCATTCCTATACTATCTAAACATTTTCTCAGCAAGCAGAGCATGCATAGTGAGGCCAACTAAGGAAAATTGAGGTACTCCAGTTCAATCTTGACAAGCTGGCTGCAGACTCTTAAGTGAGACACCACAGCCTATGCTTTCCAGAAAATGATACAAAGCAGAGTGTTGACTAGCAAAAATATCTCTAAAACTTCTAAGATTTCCTTAGCAAAAAACTGAGCTTTCAAAACGTTTACACTATGAAATTAAAATTTTATTAAACCAAATTATAGCATCCATCCTACCTATACTGCATGTTTGAAACAAATGTTTGAAGAAAATCTTTTGCCCTGTCATGTCCCCAAGCAAACCGTCAGCCCCTACCTACAGTCCCTTGACAGCCCTCCAAGCCCTGACACCTGTTTGCAGCCACCAGCTCCCAAGAGCCCTGTCCTGCCCCAACATGGACTCACCCACTGGCCCATCCCTGGTCCCCAGGGATGTGCTTGGTCCTGAGGCCAGTTCCCTCCCCACTGAGTCTGCTGGTGGGGCAGTGGGATGGAACAGGCTGCTAAGGCTCCTGAGCCCCCATGGGGAGCCTCTAGTGCTCCTGGCCTCCAGGTCTCAAAGAGCCACCAGCCTCTATGATGCTATGACACAATCAGATCCAATTCACAACTGCAAGTAAAATGATCACATAAAAAAATATCAAATTTAACTAGACCCATGTTGTGAAACAAATGCAGAGCACATCCCTCTTAAGACAGACATCATTTCCCATAACAGAATGATCAAAATCTGCCAATCCTAAACCTTTGATACATTTTCCCCCAGCCAACTCCATGGAAACTATGTAGTTTAAACAAACAAACAAACAAACAAACAAAAAAATACAACTCAAACACTGTAGCAGAATGAATTCACACTATCAGTCAAGAATGGAAAAAGCTACTTAACACTGGGTTGTTTTATAGCATTCTTCTGTTACTGAAACTTTCTTTGCTTCTATACTCAAACTTAGTAAAATCTCCAGGATAAACCTAACACTGGATTGCTTAGGCCAGTACTCCAACAGCTTCTCAAAATTACAGACTCCACAGCAACATGAGTTTTACTGTTGTCTCCATCTCTTCCCAAGAAAGGTCTTCACTTTATTATGTATTGTAATAATGTATCTTCGGTACTTTTGACATGACTGAGCCACCTCCTTAGCACCTCTTTCTGTAACAGAAGTATTACCTCTCACTTGGTATATCTGATACATTTCTTATATTGTGAAAGTGTTCTTATCCGCATTTCTTTAGAACAGCTGTTGTTAACCATGCGTCTAGTGTACCATTTGTGGCTTTGGATTTAGTCACTTAGGGAACCAACTTCTGCATTCAAATCCTTGGTTGGTTTTTGTTTGTTTGTTTGTTTGTTTGTTTTTAAGTGCATCAGCTGATGAAATGAGTGGTATTAATTTTCTTTGCAACCCTTACTAAAATTTGAGATTACCTAACTGAGATTATAACACAAGATCGTATATTAAAAACAAGGAATCAAAAATGAAATACAATAAAAATTGCTTTCCAAGTCCAAGTGTTCCCATTGATTTTGAAAGGTTATTTCCTGCTTTATATATAACATAGTAAATAGAAAACCTTTGTGGAGGGTTAGCTCTGGCCAGCAGCCAATTTCCCACTCATCTGCTCACTCATTCCCCTTCTTCACTGAGAGAGAGAGAAAATAGGATGAAAAAACTTGTGGATTGAAATAAAGACAGGGAGATTGATTACCAATTACCATCACAGGCAAAACAGATTCAATTTGTGGGAAATTAACTGGGATGGGTGTTTGGTTGTCAGCCAAAGCTAATCCACCACAGTCCTATAACCATATTTGGTTCAGACTGTACAGGGATAATGGACTATCCAAGATTAAATGCAGAAGAGTATCAAGGCTTTTGCCTTTAAAGTACTATTAATTTTCATATGTTATTTAACAATTCTGTAAACTTCCACCTAAAATGTATGCATTATTATTCCATTACTCTTGGTATCCTGCAAGTTACAAGCATAGCCATATAGACTGATATTTTGCAAATATGAGCAAGAATTTAGTCATAAAATCTTAAGCAAACTATAGAGATAGGTGAGACACAGCATAATACAGTATTAAAATTAGCTGGTTGAAGTAAAGGAACACTGGCATGACTTCAGAAGCTGCTTCTAAATGCAGGTAAGTCCTATTCAACATTTAATGATGGCTTAGAGCAGAAACAGCATTTACCATTGACTTTCAGCTGAAGATTACTAAACCCACACATCTGAGTGAGAACGCAATGCCAACATGCATCCTCAGATATTTCACTGCAAATCAGCTGCCTTAATTCAGGACATCTACAGTAACCGTTTAAATTAATGACACTTTGAAGCAGACAGTCACTTTTCATTCCACAAATTCAGCTTGGAGCCAAGGTGATGAAGAAAGAATGATAACATCTACATAAACAGATGAAAATGAATTTGCAAAACTGCAAGAAATATATAGAGGTGGTCATCACTATATCACAGCCTTTGACATAATTCCCTATCATTTACTTTGACATTTTCCCTCCTCTATCCCATGCCCCTTCTTCAAAAGGTATTTAAAAATTTATTTGTTCTAAGTAGTTTTTACTGGAGTAGGGATTACCACCATAAGATAAGGGTTGACATAAACACATCCTTCACAGTCCTACATAAAAACCAGCAGGTAAGTTACATAAAGCTGTTTAGACTGGTTGAGACTTAGCATTGATAGCATGCTATAAAATGTAATACATGTGGTTCCATTTGCCTTTTTTTAAATAGCTTTTC